GTTTCGAGCAGCCATGTTTCTTGTTTATTTTGAAGGACTAGATCCCAGGCTCTCACGTAAAAACACAGGGATATTTTAGGATTTTTTAGGATATTTGCAATATTTTTAGTCTTGATAAAAATTTGCGGGGTTAAAGGTCAAAGTACCGAAAGTGATCAGCAAAAACTGCAAAATATAGTTTAAAATCACAGTTTTTGGTTGAATAATACTTGAACTGGAGATTCAAAGTAAAATGCGAAGTCGTATGACTTATATTAGGCAATCTTCCGGGCATATAAAACGGACTTAGCCGCTGACTACAAAAGCGGGAGCAAAATGTCCCATATTTCTGGTAATGATGTACAGTATACCCTACAGTTCGTTTATAAACTCCATTAACACGGTGTATTCCCGTATATGTACACGGCGTATACCCATATTTTATACTAATGTTTGCTAGTATGTGTAAATAAATATCCTTATTTAATTGCTTAAAAGTTAAATTAATAGTCATTATACGATTAGTGTCATCTCTCGAACTGAATGTTTCATAAATCCATTTATCCACATTTGCATAAAATCGATCATAGCAAAAAATTGGACTACCATATAGAGTCCATCGCATATATCGCAACAGTTCATAGAGTTTCTTCTCCTGCGGGGCAAGTGGCTCTAAAAAGCACCGCATGATCATAAAGTTGTTTTGCGTCCAAAAACACTTCGTCACATCTGTAAGGTATGGGGCACGTACACTCGTCGTTAAACCCGCCACACGTACAATTACTTTGACAATAATTTTTCACAATGTTTTGCAACTTTTGGGCATACGACAACAATTGTATTAGTCTTAGGTCAGCGTGTACACCGAGGCCTCTTGAAATTCGCCGCTGTATACCGATTTCGTGAAAATGATTATAATTTAAGACATATTGTACAACTTCGTCCAAACGTTGCTGTACTATTGGTTTTACATGTGTAGAACTCCACCGGAGCGGTGCGAGCGTAGTACAACGTTGTATTGACACTATTGTACGTTGACCACTAGTCACAATATAGTTTTCCTCATCAGTACTGGTAAACTTGTCGGGATAAATACCCAAATATATTTGTGCTGTTGTATAAGAATGATGCTTCAAATCAATTACAGCTACCGATATTATACGCTGTCCAAGAAATCTAATTTCATAAGCATAGCAATATATGTAATACGACTCCAGCGGAACCACCAAATCACCACATAACAACTTTGTCTCCCCCAATACACGCTGCATATTATATTCTTCTTTTTCAAGGAAACACATATACATATTATACATTTTCGTACTTAAAGCAATATATTTGTGATTTATTAATTTTTCGGTTATATGTATAATTTGATAAGGCCTATGTCTTAACAAATTACAATTTTGAACATTTTTCCATTGACAACAATTACAATTTATCTTCATTTTAAATTTGCATTCACTTTACGATAGTCAAACAACTTCTGAAACTCGTCAAACATTTTTGAAGAATATAATATTTTTCGTACACCATCATATACCCTCATATCCCCATCCACCTGACATAATTCCACATTTAAATATTCTTGTATATATCTTGCTAATACATGATAATAAAAACCATTGCCCTCTTCAGACAAAGAATATCCCCTATCACACCCCTCAACAGTTATTTGAAATCCGAGATCAGTACTCATCATAGAAGCCCTATATACCACCCGGTCGCCACGATCAATAGCCCCCAATATCACAACATTACGAGACGACCACCCAAGCATATACACATAACACCGCACCCGATATATACAATCATCAACCATTAAAACCGTATACAATTTACGGAATAAAACCGTAGATACCCCCATCATTCCATTAACAGGATTAAAAAAACATAAAATCATCTTATTTACGATCTCTTGATCTTCTTCATAACAAGGAGGGTGTATTCTAGAAAATATTTAATTTATATTATTCTAAACAGTTTACACATTTCCCATATTACATTATCCTTTACTAATAACCCTGTATCATTTATAATAAATTGTTTTACTGTATTTACATTTTCAGCCGAATAATCATTAGTATTAAAAAATCCTGTTATAGTATGGATTATTATTTCCATTTCGTCTCTATCCCCCGCATAACCATCGCAATCAAAGTAACTTTGAAAATCCTCTTTATATTTATTTCTAACACAATATTTTATTAGCACATCGTGTACAAGTACTACTTTTCCTATACTAATATAGTCAACCCCACATACTTTGGGGTTCATATAAACATAACCCTTTACATCACAATGAAGAGTGTC